CCCCAGCCGGCATGCTGGCTGGGGAATTCTGGGAGATGAAGTCCACGCATCTTAAAGTTGCCAAGATTGAGAAACACTGCTACAGGGCATGGAATGTTGGGCTGTAGTGCATTCACATTTGTAAAGGAAGCCTTCCCATGAATCCAGAATAATTATTCTTCATCTTTTCATCAGTAATAATGGAAGAGTTACCTAAATCTACTTGTAGACTTATTTATCTCAGCAAGATTTCAGGAACTTCCACCTTTCCTCCTTTCTTACAATGTTTTCTTTCTCCTTTATGTAGGATCTGGAAAATCGTACACAATGATGGGCACAGCTGATGAACCTGGATTAATACCTCGGCTCTGCAGCAGTCTCTTTGAAAGAGCCCAGCAAGAGGAGAGTGAAGAGCAGAGTTTTAAGGTGGAAGTGTCCTACATGGAGATTTATAATGAGAAAGTCAGAGATCTGCTGGACCCAAAGGGGTAAGGAAGGGTTTTGGGGAACACCAAAATTGCAGGCAACTTGGTAAAGTAATCATTTGATGGGAGTGGAAGTCTCCTACTTCTGCATTCCTCACCAGGGACCAGCTTAATCAACATACTCCTCCAGAACAAAACCAGTAATTTTTGTTTCTGGGGATGGCCTTCTCTCAGTAATTAAACATGTGCTTTGCATGCAAAAAGGGCCAGCTTTTATCCTAAGCCTCTCTAAGTAGGCTGGGAAAGAGTCTTCCCTGGAATTTAAGAGAGCCACTCTCTTTAGCTTCACCACCAGGACTCAGGTGAATCTATACTATGACCCAATATATGGCAGGGGTCCTTTTCTGGCTCCAAGTAGCTCTCTGCCGCCGCCCCCCCCCAATCTCTTAAAATCTTGCTGAAGTTCTCAATATTCTGGCAGGATTCTAGCATTCTCAGGCACGGTTTCAACCATTTAGTTTTTTAAAATAAATTTTAACTTACTTGTAAGGGCCTGCAGACATCATTTTAAAATGGTGTGGACAACTTGGGGCCTGCTGGTACCATGTTGCTGATCCTAGGTGTAAAGCGTTTTTTATATTTCCAGGAACTCATGGTGTAACTGGGAGATCCACGATAAGGCTCTCCCATACTTTTTAAAAAGAAGTTATTGGCAGGTTCGGATGGAGCCCAGATTGAACAGCTAGAGAATGGGGTTTGCCATCATATCCCTTTTCTGATAAATATGCCCAGCAATGTGGGGAGAGGAAAAACATAGTTATCTTAACTATTTGAGTAGGCTTTTAAATCTCAAAATTATCTGAGGGAAGTTTAAGGGCAAAAATCTGTTAATTTTTTAAATATTCCCTGGAGCAGTAGAGCTGTTTATCTTACATTTATCTGAAGACAGAGAAATATGTTGATTGTTAACTTGATAACATGCAAACTGGGTAGCCTCTACTTTTTCTATCTTTTTTCCTACCATTGTATGATAGCATTTTTGTTGTTGAGAGTATCACCTTGAAAAAAATGAATTAGTTCCCTCAAGCTAGGCGGTGAGGTTAGCCGCCAAATACATCTTGATATGCTGGGCACAGTCCAGTCAAAGTTGAAATATCATTTGAGGTTAAGAGGAAAGGTCTGAGCAAGTGCTGGGTGCTTCTTGATGAATCAGTATGACTCAGAAGTGCCTGACTGACAATATTCCTCAGAGTTCTGGAAATGTAATATCTTGTTCTATGTTTGTTTCCAAACAGGAGCCGTCAATCTTTAAAAGTCAGAGAACACAGTGTCTATGGACCTTATGTAGATGGTCTTTCTAAACTAGCTGTTGCCAGTTACAAGGTAAAGAAATCCATTACAATAGGCTTACCTAATAACGTTTAGTGGAATAGTTGTCATTACCAAATTATTTATGTGCCTCTTTTCTGCAAGAGCCTGTGTCCAAAGCAGCTTAAGTACATTAGAAAATAATAGTGAATCAGTTAAGATGTGGCAACTCTAGTCTGTTAAACTGGGACTTCTCAGCATGCAAAATCACTAGGAGGAAGGAAGGGCCCAACCAGTTCCCCTCACTAGTGATTTGGCATAGGATCTGTGGAAGTGCAGGAATGAAGTTGTGGCAGAGAAAAGAAAGCCTCATGCCTCCCCCATCTTCCTCATGGTCTGTTCAGGATTGATGAGAAGGAATTTCATAGTTTCTGTGCTCTTAAATCAGATCTTGGACAGATTGTTCTGTCTGGTTTAGTAGTCCCTGTGCTTGATCAGCATTGACTTTCCAAGATTAGAGGCAGAAGTCATCTGCACGCCTTTTACAAAAGATACTTCTCTAGTGTTGTATTTTAAGATTAAGTTTGAGATTCCCTAAATGCAAAGTTTTAACAATTGACCTCCAGCACCTCCAGAAGCAAAGTCAAAGTGTTATTTGAACCATCATTACCTTGTCTTTAATCTCTCTGTTGTATCTGCATAAATGGTATGTTTCCATCAGCAGTGTACTTGCAATCATGAACTGCCCTTTAGGAAATTCTCATCCTTGGAATGTTTATAGCTCTGAAGCTAATGAGGCATACAAACATTATTTGTTTTCCCCCTATCTTCACTTCTGCGATATAAGCCCTATAGGTATTAAGGCCCTGTAATTCAGCAGATTTCTGCAGTATTACAACTCCTGTCCTCTGCAGCCAGCATGGCTATATTAGTTGATAGTGGAACGAATTTTAGTCTGACGCATCTAGTGGAAACCAGAATGGGGAAGGTTTCTATAGAAGTAGTTCATAAAATCTTGAAAAACTGTTCTGATTTCCTAATCCTAACTTCTAATTGACTTGGCTGGTCTTAGAAAGTTATGCAGGGGTGGAGTTGGTTAGTATTTGGATAGGAGACCACTGGGAAATATTAGCTGAAAAAACATCCAAGAAGGAGGCAGTGGTAAACCACTTCCATATTATTGCCAAATAAACTACATGGATGTGTTCATGAAGTCATCAGGAATCTAACCTGACTGAAGGGAGACTTCAGTTATGTTTGCTTTTAAAGAAAGGAGGAGAGAAAGATCTAGCGAAACTGGTTTAGCAAGTAACTATGCTAGGCTTATTTGCAGAACTTTAGCAATAGCCTTAAGTGTCTGAAAATAAGAAGACCAAGTCAGAAACATGAGGAGGTATATTACATTGAGTTTGAATAATGACTCCTGTCCAGCACATGTGCTCTATTGCAGACCAATGGCCCTTCCCCAACTTCAGTGTAATTTCAGGGCAAACTTGCATATGGTATTTTGATTACATTGTTCTCTTTGTATTCTAAAATTTGAATACTGCTTTCCATTTTGCTAAGAGTTTTGCAGAGGTTTAAAATAAAACATAAGTTTCACTGGTTGACTTTTGCAGCAAACTTGCTAGGTAGTCTAATATAACCCAGCCATCTCATAAAATCATCCAGTTGAAAATGGCCTCAAAGGTCATTTAATGGAAGCCTTTGGTACAGGGTACTCCAGAGACCTCTGCTTAAAAGCCTCCAATAAATGAGAGTTCACCACTTTCTAAAGCCATCTGTCTTGATCTCCCCCATCCTGCCCTGCAATAGAGTAATAATAATGCTAATCTACTATATAAAGCTGTTGTAAGATTTAATGAATGAATATGCGTGAAGTGTACATCCATGCACATAAATACACCATGTCTTGCCTTTTGATACCCTTCTCCTGTTTCAGTAGGAAAGTTTCTCTTGTTCAAGTAAGGATCTTAAACATAGTGAACGTAAGCAAGGCCCAAATAGTTCAGATGCAGTACTTACTTTTTAGCTGAAAATTTTAATATGTCCTAATGAAAATACTAAGCACAATTATAACCTGGGATCATCAGGCCTTACTCCTAGAGGTTACTAAAGAAATGCTAAGGGTGCTGTTTGGAGCATACTGAAGTGCTCAAAGAGGAGGAGAAGATGTCTTTGAATATAGTTGGACTAGATGACCTCAAAGATTTCTTTCAACTCTGTGATTCTAGAACATGTAGAGTGCTTTTCTATACTGAACCAGCACCCTATCAGGTGGGTAGAAATTCCATGCCACAGAACATGAGGACTCCAAGTTTGCTTAAGCTTTCATACTATTTATTTTAGAAATCCAATACCAGTCAAAATGCAACGTGCCCAAATCCTCTAGAGAAAGATTAGAATTTATTGGTAGAACTCATAGTTCAATCAACAGTCTTGTGATTGAGGATAGCTAAAATGTTTTATTTGCTGTCAAGTAATACTTTGATTAGCCAGCCAGTTTGACAAAACAGAAGGAACATGTTATTTCTCTGCTCTGCCCAGGCAGCATTAAGGGTAAATCAGGGGAAAATGTAATACAAAACCATGATTTGTGTGGAGCAATAAGAGCTCGTACTCACCGAATATAGCACTTTCTAGCCTCTTTACAAAACTGAGACTTCAGTGACTGGGACAAGACATCACATTAAGCTGTGGCTTGTTTTAATTATGGTTTGTTGAATAAGCCACATGGCTTAGTTCACATCTCAAGTTATGCATGAACTTCACTTTAAAAAACACAATATGTTTTGTGATTCTTTTATTTAGGATATAGAGTCTTTGATGTCCGAAGGCAATAAATCTCGTACAGTTGCTGCAACAAACATGAATGAAGAGAGCAGTCGATCCCATGCAGTTTTCAAGATCATCCTCACACACATATTGTATGATGTAAAGTCAGGGGTGAGTTCTGCAATCTGCACTACTGATAAATAACAGAGTACTATAAAAATGTAATGGAAAAAGGAGTTTTATAAATGCTATATGGAAATGGCAAACTGTAATTAGTATGTTCGTCAGAATTTTACTTCTGTTTTACTTGCTTTAGAATAGATCTTGTTACCCTAGGGCAGACTGGGGAAACTGTGGTCCTCAGATGTTCTTCATCTCATATTCCTGTTAGCCCCACCACTTTGGCCCAAGGTCAGAGATGATGGGAACTAAAGCCTTCCTGAAGATGACAGATTCCCAGCCTCATCATGAGAGGCAGCATAGCATTTCTGGGAACAATGCCGTTTTAAAATAGTGTGGGACTTGCTTCCAGGTTGCTGTCACAGAGCCTTATAATGTCAGAGAGAGTTGCTATTCTCTAAAGGTTGTTTGGGATCTGAATCAGGAGAACATTATTTATTTATGAAAAGCGATTCTTCTTGAGGTTTCAGTTGTATCCAGACACTCCTTAACAACCTTTGGTTGTTTGGGGCTTACAGATAATATATCCCTCACCTTTCAGGGAAAAACGTCACGCCCTAAAAAGGCACACATTGGCTGTTGTGTTTCTCCATTCCTCCCCCCACCCCCCAAAGCAATGAAATCAAAGTATACTTGAAGCCCTGTGGCTGGAGCACTTGAATTTTTCAGCAACACTACTAAGGACTATCATTTCCGTTGATAGAAAGAACTCTCCTATATTCCCTTATATCCAACAAACAGATTAAGGGAAGAGCATATTTTCTTTCATAGCACTTACTGCACCTCTCCACAAACTTAGGGAACACCTGCGTTGAGTTTGGGGGACATCTTATGTTTTTCAAACCTCTTTTGTCTTTGCCCAAGTCGGCTAAAATATAATATATGAACTTTGCCCATGGACCAATTTCTCTGCACTCTGAAAGTCCCTTGTGAACCTGAGGATATATACAGGTCTGCTACTGTCACTTTCTTTGCTTGTATCCCTAAGTAATGGAATGACTCCTTATAAGCAAAAATCTGCAAATGTTATTGTCTGAATATGTCCCTGTGAAGTCTTGTGCCTTTTCTCTTAATTGGTTTGGTCATTCCATACCTGGAAAATTAAAAGTCACCAACATGCAAGTTTGACTTAAAACATTCAACCCTCTAATCCTCATTCTGAAAAAAAATAGACTTTATTATTTTCAGTGGCATTGGGTGGGGTGGGGGGATTCATCTCTTGTTATCTTTGCTTCTAATCTCTCTTATCCCTTTGTTTCCCCTACCAGTAAGATCTAGATCAGCTTTAGTCACATTCATTTGTGCTAGATGTTAACTTCTGGCCTGGAGATTAGGGGAGCTGAAATTTATGTAGAAGGCATGAGAAATTTCTCAGTAAACCCTTTCGAGTAGGCACATTGGTTGTATAATAAATCATTTACGATAGCATTATGTAGTCCTCATTTAACTTCCTCTTTAGCATCAAGGTCTTTCCTTGTTGTTGCTGTCATTTTCCCTTCTCTTCCTTTCCCTTCTCTTCCCCCAAACTGAGAAAGAGAAAGAGGGATATTTTGAGATGCTGAGGAGGTGAAACGTTTTTGGGCTAATGCTGTTTTCATTCCGCAGACCTCTGGTGAGAAAGTGGGCAAGTTGAGCCTGGTTGACCTTGCAGGCAGTGAAAGAGCAACCAAGACGGGGGCTGCAGGTGATAGGTTGAAGGAAGGAAGCAACATCAACAAGTAAAGTTTTTTTCTTTTTAAGGGATTAAATGTTTTTAAATGGAGGGTGAAGGCAAAAGTAAATATGTCCCAATGTTCTTTATTTATTCAGAAGAATGACAACAAGAGAAAAGAAAGAAGCAGAGTCCCATCCTCCTTTGACATTTTTCCCCAGCTTTCCCTTAAAAGAAATAGTCCATCCTTCTTTCCTTCCTTCTCTGAGAGATCAGAAATTATTATATTAGAACAAAGAGAAAAACTAAGAATTATTTTTTCTGGGTCCTGTTTATGTTAATTAATGATTAGGCAATTTTACCCTAAAAGCAAAATGCAAATTAATAGAGGGGCCAGCTATTGCTAAGTGTATATCTGATTCTAGTCATCGTACAATTACAGAATCTTTTTCTCCCCAATGCAGGTCTCTCACAACTCTTGGGTTGGTCATTTCAGCCCTCGCAGATCAAGCTGCTGGCAAAAATAAGAACAAATTTGTTCCTTATCGTGACTCAGTGCTCACTTGGCTACTCAAAGTAAGTTACCCTTTATTCAACATGTCATTCTCTGTTTCAGGTCTATTTGGAGGTGACACCTGTTGAAAATAAAATAAAGGGTTGCAACAGCTGACTGCAGTGGAAAACCACAGTAGCTCTGTGAATTCTCACTCAGGAAGCTCTTTCTCCAGGAATAGAATTCCCTTGCTTTCTGAGAGAGTTGGATCCCCTTAGGTGGCTTCCCGCTCTGGACTGTTCACAATCAATAGCATCTCTCTTAATCAATTTACTGGCAGCCACATACACAGCTCTTCTACCATAAAAGCTTTATGATGGCTAACCCATGCTTGGTTAGTGTCATGGCTAACTTCAGAGATGTTGCTTTAAATTGTTAGCCATTTTGCATCCATTGAGCATGTGCATGAATTGCAATGGACATATCAGTTGTAGCTCAAGAGAAAGGGTTGGGGGAGGTCAGTCTCTTGCAAGATGAGAGAGATACAGAATTGATTGTGCCCTGCACAAAAGGCTGGCTTGATGTTTACAGCAGAAGAATGCAACTAGTTTGGAGAAACTTCAGACAGGAACAAAATACTGGCAAGAATTCAGTGACACAACCTTACGGCTAAATTTTATTTGTTTCTGTGTGTGCGCTAATAAAATATATTCATGCAAATATTCAGAGATACTATATGTATCCAAAACTTGTCGGTGCCAAAGAGAATTTTTAATCCAGCTTTTTATATCAATACCTGGTTCTCCAGAGCTGGGAGGAAGAAACAAGCAAACACTTGCTCTTCTTGAAAACTGTTGCCAGTCATTATGGATAGTAATAAACTCAATGGAGCCCCTACTGGTGACTTCTTATAAGGAATTTCCCAACTGGTCTTCAAACATATATAGCCTTTGAACATAAATAGTTCCTTTTGGCTAATTATGTCTAAATACTGTTGCTAGCTCTTTTCTGTAATGTTTGTCTTACCACTGGAAAAGCCTGTTTCTATACTTGCTGGCAATGAACTCCATAAATTCTGCTTTGAATAATACACTGTTAGTATGTTTGCTTCTTCTCCATCCCGAATTTGTCACCAATTTCATCTGGTGAGTGCTAAAATTATGTGAAAGCTTTCTCTTTCCACTATATTCAAGTTTTGCAAGACAGAAATTGTCTTTTTGTTTTTCTTTTTTAAAAAATCCCAATTACCAAAGGGTAGAAGAAGATTTTACACTGTGATTCCCTGCATTGGTCAGGGATCTGGATTAATTGTCACTATGTGAGATGAGCGGCTATACAAATGTGATTAAATAAATAAATAAAATAAAAATTAATAAATTGGCTTTCAAGGGTTCTTCCAAATTGCAGATTCTTTAGCCTTTCTTCATAATTTTAGTTATTATTAATATTATGCATTGTTTTAATTGCTCTTTCCTGCATCAGCTGGTGCTTAACACAGGGATGGTCATCTTTGTGGGGAGAGGTGGGGTGCTAGGGACCACACTCCCCAAAATTGACAGAGCCAAAACAAAGGAATAAGTGGGGACAGAAGAAATTAAAATGTAATTAAATATGCATTACATTTAATTACTCATGTGTAATCATACACATGAAATTATGTTGATATGATTATTTCTCATGTATTTAATAATTATTACCTTCTATTACATTAAACATTGCAACTGGGTAGCAACGTTTGGAGGTGACAACTTTTGTGAACTGAAGATAAGAGGTTGTGCCAACCCCACTGAAAACGTGAGACCCAGGAACAGTATTTTAAAATCCCCTTGTCCCCTTTCTTACATACATAGATTATGCTTTTTCAATATTACAGTGTGAAATGAGGTTTTCAGAGATTTTACATTAGGGTGATAAGCAGGACAGGGCTTGGCTTCCTTTCCTGCTGAGACAATTCTGTATAATAAGTATCAGCACAGAGAAGAGTCTGCTTCTCACTTAATAGGTTTTATATCACTAAAAGAAGAAAATGTACTTTCTTTCTCATTAGTACCACTAAGCAAACCCATAACTGGATATGGAGAGGCTTAGTTTAGAAAAGACTTCAGTTAAGTATCTTGGAGAAGGGTGGAGATACATACCGTGTACATTTCAGCCACTGGGGAAGGGAAACTCAAGAGCAGTATAAATTATAAATGAAGATTCTCATTAAAAAGTAATGACAGTGTGATGTAAAAATTAAACATCTTTTAAAAATGGCAACAGGCTTGAAAATTAATATAATAAAGTAATTCCAAAATATTTCATCAAATTGCTTGAAAATCTTTTTCCTTGCTCCTCTGTTGAAGAAAGCCTCCCAATTCAAATGTTGGCAAAAAACATATACCAGGAAAATAGGTAGAAAAATATCCTTCAGATCTTATATAATTGTTCTCATAGTCATCCCAGTGCAGGAAGACTCCACAGTTCTTGATACAGTAATATATTCCAAATAGGGGCAGGATAAGAATGTTACTTATCTCCTTGACAAGCAACAATAGGTTGACAAATTTGTGGATTTCAGCCCCAAATAAGGCAATAGAAGATAAACCTATGAGTTAATGATCCAGTCCTATGTTTCCAGCAGCGAGGCAACTAGATAATCCTTAATAAATTTAGTTGTCCAGTATACAAAACAATTTTTTTTCTTCCGAGTGTTTTTCCCACACGTGCAGGGTCCACTTTTTCAGATCAACCAAATATTGATCCATTGGTTGCGACAGGAATTGACCACCTGACTTGTTGCCCAAGCCTGACGTCGTGGGCTGAGAGAAAAGGACTGGCCCAAAGTCACCCAGACAGTTTTCATGCCTAAGGCAGGACTAGAACTCACAGTCTCCTGGTTTCTAGCCTGGAGCCTTAACCACTAGACCAGACTGGCTCTCATATACAAAACAAAATATCAAACTTATTTTAAGATCAAGAGAGACTCATTTCATTTTTTAAAGCAACCTTCTACTGCTGAACAGGATATTCAAGCTTATTATTCCAAAGCCTCTGTAAATAATTAACTTCAATTTCATCAACATCCTTCCACTTAAAAAAATGAATTACTGCTTTAGGAGCCACAATTAATTCTTTCCAGGCCACAAATATGAATTTCAAGAGCAACAATAGCATTAGAAAGAAAAGATCCAAATAACAAATGTCAGAGTTCTTGGGGTTCTCTGAGCTTGATTGTTTTCTTGCAAATGTTTCGTTACTTGGCTAGGTAACATCTTCAGTGCTAGAATGGATTGGGGTTTGCTCTCTTTTTATATACAGTGACATGCCCTGCCAGTGTTGGTGGGGGT